GTCCTTGAATTTAAATCCCACAAAGAGTTCTTCTTGCGACTCGAGCTCGTGTAAGCGTACACTTCTGGCACAGTGCTTCCGGTAGCATAGATAGCATATGATCGCCGAAGATGTGAGCCTAGTACCGCTGGCACAAGTTAGCTGGGGGGTCTGGGGGCATAGCCCCCAGGAAATCTTTCCTGCATTCTCAGAACAAAATTTAAAATATATCTCAGTTTTTCAAAACCATGGATAATAAAATAAATGGATGGGAAACTAGCTGACGTGGCCTAATGTTTTCAATGGGCTGATGGCGTGGTTGGATGTCCCAACCTAGTTGCAAACCAAATTCTCAAAAACGGCATGTTTAGCAATAATACAGCTAAACATTTTAGTCAAAGAGTTGTTCCACACTCTTTACTCATCCTCATACTTTATAGTAAAGGTAAAATTGGCGCATTCGCTCGGACCCACCTTACTTTCTGAGATCGTATCAATTTCACGTCTGCTCCGGAGATGTTGAGTTGTGAGTGAAGCGAACGTTTCTCTTTTGCCTGTTCCTCTCAAGTCTTGCAGTTGGATAATTTGATTTTCCAACGAAGATATGGTTTTACCGTCATTGTTTTGCCATTTTGTCTCACTTGAACTTTGCTTGGAACTTTTACCTCAGGCGGCGAAGGAGTTGAAAAATGCAGTTCTGGGCTCTTCCGTATTCTCTCACTTCGGAGTGTTTTCATCACAGTTACTAAAAAATAAATAATGTGGTGGACAATTATACTCCTTCCGAATTGCGAATATTCTCACATTTTCACAATTTACCTTTTCTTGCCATCTCTGCAGAAAGATCAGTTTCTTTCTTCGTGTTCTCGCCATCAACTTGTTTGGCATTTTCTGTCAAGTTAGAGACGGATTCGTCTTGTTGGAGAGGTTTGTCAACATTCAAGGGTTTACCGTTTGTCTCATTTGCATGGGGGATATTAGTCGACTCTTTGCTTGGAACTTTTACCTCGGACGGCGAGGGCAGTTTTGGGCTCTTCTGTATTCTTTTCCTTTGGAGTATTTTCATCACAATTCCTAAAAATAAATAATGTGGTTGACAGTTACTCCTTCTTGAAATGAATTATATAATGTAGTTTGGAATTGTTAAATGCCCAATTTTTACGTTCTTGTACGAGGGAATTGGGTTGTACATAGGCCTACATATATTTAAATGTATGAGATGTACAGAAAATGAAATGTTTTGTCTTCCAAATTAATTTTCGTAACACTTAGTCAGTTGTCATGGAAAGTAAGGCGTGACAAACTTAATGGTGAAAATAATAATGCTTCGTGGAATTGGTTTCGATTTTTTTGCAATACAGAATTTTATTTTGACACTACAGAATTTCCTATTTTTTTATACAATGCAGTGCATAGAACAATATATTTAGATATAGGTAGAATAATATATTTAAATAAATAAATAGAACAATATATTTAAATATAGGACGGTGTGGGTATTAGAAAATTTAACCATGAATATAGAACAATACATTTAAATATAGGACAGTGTGGGTATTAGAAAATTTCACCATGAATAAATAGAACAATATATTTAAATATAGGACGGTGTGGGTATTAGAAAATTTAACCATGAATAAATAGAACAATATATTTAAATATAGGACGGTGTTGGGTATTAGAAAATTTAACCATGAATAAATGGAACAATATATTTAAATATAGGACGGTGTGGGTATTAGAAAATTTAACCATGAATAAATAGAACAATATATTTAAATATAGGACAGTGTTGGGTATTAGAAAATTTAACCGTGAATAAATAGATCAATATATTTAAATATAGGATGGTGTGGGCATTAGAAAATTTAACCATGAATAAATGGAACAATACATTTAAATATAGGACGGTGTGGGTATTAGAAAATTTAACCATGAATAAGTAGAACAATATATTTAAATATAGGACGGTGTGGGTATTAGAAAATTTAACTGTGAATAAATAGAACAATATATTTAAATATAGGACGGTGTGGGGTATTAGAAAATTTAACCGTGAATAAATAGAACAATATATTTAAATATAGGACGGTGTTGGGTATTAGAAAATTTAACCATGAATAAATAGAACAAGTCCATTTTCCACTAGGCAAATTTGTTTGCGTGGAGGGAAGTGAAAAACAAAACAAATATAGGACGGTGCGCGTATTTCTACTCATCTTTCAATACGACTGGCTCTGACGATATTATGTCGTAGGCAACCAAGTGTTAATCAACAAAACTGTCAAATAATTCAAGTCTTATACCGTGTGTTCAAGTATATGTCTTATTAAAGAATTGTCATATTTCAATTACCTTTTTCAACCTACTTCGGACATTTGTCACGAATAGTTTTATAAAATAACGATGGGAGCGTAATACTTCCTATAACACCACCGTAATACCACCTCACGCAAAAAGTTTGATAGCAATAGTTGTTTTTGACATTTAAGCGCGGTTACAAATTCAATATTTGAAACGTCAACAACTGAACAAATCAACCTCGTTCCCAGGCTCTTATATCTTGTGGAGGAAAGACCCTGGTAGAAGCTGGTCACGTGATCTGCTAAAATCTAGCAGATTTCTAATTGACTATCTTGGATTCCTTTAAAATCAAATGAAACTTACAACACAAAATGCAAGTTATAAATTAAAGTATAAATATCAAATATTTATCAACATCATCAATTAAAATCTGCTAGATTTTAGCAGATCACGTGACCAGCTCCTACCAGGGTCTTTCCTCCACAAGGGATAAGCCTGGGGACGAGGTTGTGAACAAAGCAGCTCAATTCGATCACAACTCACAAATTTTATAACTATATGCGATGACTTATTTTTTATTATAATTTAAAAATATTTGTACACCGTAGCCTATTCAACTATAAGTAACAGTTGTTTTTCAAGGGGCCATGTGTTGAAAATATACTTACATACAATATTGAACTGCGTACAACATATAATTATAAACCATTGAATTTGGCTGGCTATGTTCAGCTGTTGACGTTGCTGATATTGAATTACTTAATACAGCGCAAAACTGTCGTATGATATTCTTAATATTTGTTATTTAAAAAAATACTTTTTCAGCACATAATTTTCGTTCATTTCTAGCCTCTTTTCTCATTGTTTGAAAAAGTGGTAAAAAAATGGCAAAAAAAGTAAAGAGTAACTCCTTAACTTTTCTGTGCATTTTTAGCAACTTTTTTATTTTTGGAAAGTGATCTGATGTTGTACAGAACTCACCACTGGAGTACTGAATTAAGTTTAAGTTGAGAATGTCGGCTACGTTAAAGCATGCTTAAAGTGATACATTGTGGCTTCTACTGTTATTAAGTATGCCGACCAAGACGGGGATCGTTACCTCTAATCCGCATAACACCGAAAATATACAAGTACCGCCCCCCCCCCCTCGTAACAAACCATATGGAGATATTTCCCCACGGGGGTGGATTGAGACTCTCCAGGGGGGTGGATTGGGGCTGTCAGGGTACCTTCACACATAGGCGTACGAGACGGGGAGGGGGGGGGGGCAAAAACAACTTTAGAAAACAATGCAAATGCTGGGGAAAACGAACAAAATTCGGGCGGATTTAGCCGAAACTAGAGTAAATTCAGGTTATTCCATTACAATCTTCCATAAAAAATGTGAGGAAACTTTGAACTGCCCGCTAGGAAAGCGTCAGCCCCGTACGCCTATGCTATATATGCCTTCACACATCCCATCCGCCACACGAAATTTAATAAAAAATCACAACATTTTGCTTTATATTCACTTTATTATACTACAAGGATCTTGAACACATTCTGTACATACATTTTAAATTGATACTATATTCTGAGCGTTTTCACATTGGATAGAATATGACATTAAAATTTCTACAAGTTTCCACCTGATTACAGATTTTAAGTTAATCAGATCTTTATAAATGTTCATTTTTGATTACTGTTTATATTAATTACTTATTCTATATACACTCATGTTTTTTCTTCTACTGATGAATACCTGCATGCTTGCTTATTTACTTATTTTTTTACTTATTTACTTGCTTATTTATTTACTTGCTTATTTACGTATTTATTTATTTACTTGCTTATTTAGTTATTTATTTATTTACTTATATTTATTTAGTTATTTTTTTATTTACTTATATTTATTTATTTACCTACTTGCTTATTTACTTACTTACTTACTTGCTTACGTATTTATTTACTTATTGACTTATTTATTTATTTATTTACTTGCTTACTTAACTGGTTTCTTTTTCGCAGGGAAATACTTCTTCTTAAGCAACCTGTAATTTTTTCTGGTGAAGACAAACGCAATACCTATGTAGACACCAGTAAGAAACGCTGCGGTAAATAACCCCATCTTTATGTCAAAATCAAGATGTGTGTTTTCAAATAAGAGAGGAGACAGGCTTATGGCTGTAGTGGTTGACAACTTAAGCAATAGGACAAAGCTGTTGCGTTTCTTAACAATATTTGATTTCTGTGCAATGCTACTGCTTGCTTTGAGTTTTTGGCGAATTCGATAAGCAGTGAAGGAGAACATTACAGCAATGGACAACCCAAGACAACCTGAAAGACCAAATTTTTCCATAACAGCTAACCAAAGAGGAGGTTCATCACCCATGACACAACCAGTAATATCTACTTGAAATCGTAAAAAATCTTTCTTCACAAGCACAATATAAACAATAGTTATGATGAGAGGAACACCCCAGCTAAAGACACTATACTTCAAGAAGGTTTTCCACTTGTTTTCATCAGATTTCACTAGAATATTGCCACAAAAGGTTTTTCTTAAGTGATATATATTAACAGCAGCGTTCATAAGTATGTTATACAAAATAAACCTCTTTGTTATTACTAGCCTGTCACATGGTACCTTCAACACTTGACCTTCACGTAGATACAGCGAAACAAGTACTGCAGTATAAGTCTGCAACAACAAAACGGCGAAGCATAAACTCATTAAATTCAAACCAGGAAGAGTGCGCAGTTCAGGAAGCATGCAATAAACTATCAACAACAACAGCAAACAAATACTAGAAAGCGCTAGAGCACATAACATTGATATTCCACTTGGGGGGAATGCCTCTCATGTAATAAAACGTGAATTTTTCTTTACATATTATAAGTTTACCTTCAAACACACCATAATTGTACTTTGCTATCACCTGATCTGTTGCCAAAATGAGAATGCTAAAATCCTTACGAACAGTATAAAACTTTTGGCGGATCATACCCACATCTACGAGTATGGGTACATTGCAACTTTTTCTATGCATTCTCGCCTTTACCCATTTATTGCGTACTTTCCAAATATTCCTTACGCTGCTATCAGTTGAGTTACAAATCTTTACCTCATCATTCAGAACTCGATACTCAATATAATCGTACACCTTGTTCTTATAGAGTATTGAAAAGTCAGTCCGAACTTTGTATTCATCATCGTATTTTATATTGATGATTGAATCGTTGCACATTAATAGATCTTCCTGGGTATACTCTGTTGATGCGGGTCTTAATTTTTCTTGGCATATATAAGGTTTACCGTCTTTCACCCCATAGTTATTTCTTGTGAAATATTGACTCCTAGGTGCGAGATAGACAGTGAACTGCTTATTCACAGTGTAGTTCCTTGCATGTATTTGGCCAACAGATTCGCGGCATTTATATCGATCTTTAAACTTTTCCCACGCATTTCGAGTTCTCCAAATCGCCTGAATTCTTGAATCATTGGAAGCACACATTTCAAGACCTTCGTTTTCGTGTCGATATTCGCGAAAATCGTAAATAGTATTGTTGTAAAACAGCGAAAGGTTTTCCAAAACATTGTATTGTTCATCGTACTTTACTTTAACCAAATCATCATTGCAGGACATACTAAGTTTTGCCGAACAAATTGCAAAATGTCCAAAAATCACTCCGTAATCTTGCCTTGTGAAATTTTGCTCAGTAGGATGAAAGAAAATAGTAAAGTTTTTTAATAATGTGTAATTTTCAAAGTAAAAACCGTCTACGGATACTTGACAGTGTGTGAAAATCGTCATTATCTTTTCCCGAGCAGTAAAATTCCGCCATTTTTCTTTAATGAGACGGTCAGAAGAATTACAAACGTGTAGTCCATCGTCCGTTATTCTGTACTCATCATAAGAGTACATTCGACCTCGGTACATAATTGAGAAGTTGTTCCATACACTGTAATCATCTTTATACTTTATAGTAAAGGTAAAATTGGCGCATTTGGTCAGACCCTCCTTATTTTCCAAGATTGCATCAATTTCACGTCTGTTCCGGAGATGTTGAGTTGTGAGGGAAGCTAACTTTTCTCTCAGTTTGCCTGCTCCCCTCAAGTCATTCTGGTGAAAAAGTTGATTTTCTAATGAAGATATGTTTTTCATGCCATTGTTTTGCCACTTTGTCTCACTTGAATGGGAGATGGTTGTCGGCTCTTTGCTTGGAACTTTTACCTCAGACGAAGAAGTTGAAAAGTTCTGTTCTGGGCTCTTCCGTATTCTCTCACTTCGGAGTGTTTTCATCACAGTTTCTATAGAAAACATTATGGTTAACAATTATTCCTTCCGAATTGCGAATATTCTCACATTTTCAGAATTTACCTTTTCTTGCCATCTTTGAAAGATCAGTTTCTTTCTTCGTATCTTCGCCGTCAATTTGTTTCGCATTTTCTCTCAAATTACGAACGCCAATGTTTTGTTCGACATTCAAGGATTTGCTGTTGAATTCATCTTTTAATTTGTTCTGTTCTGTTTTATCTTCTCGCCTGTTATACTCTGAACCACCACCATGATAAAAACAGGCGAAAATCAGACAGAAGGAAAAGAAAACGACTCGATACATGAGTCGAAAACTAAAGCCACGACCCATGTTGCAACTGCAAACGTCGTTAAGCAACTGAGTGCTGTTTTGGAAAAACACAATGTTTAAAACGTTTTTAATCAGATCTTTTCCGAAGGCTCTTGAACTACCCTCAAAATTTAAATTTATTATTTTAAAATTTGTATATTGGCTGGTTTTTCATATAATTAAATTTATGGGACGTATTGAAGCGGTGTTATTCTTTCAAATTTTGTCAATTTCGTAACACTTAGTCAGTTTCCATAACAATTAACGCGTAACAAACTTACTGGCTAAAGCTAACATTACCTAATTCTCATCCCCATTTCTATTTGCATCAGAAAAACAGAAAAGCACTTTCTTTAGGACAGGAATATTTCGTTTTCTTTAATTTAAATCTTTCGGCAATACAGAATTTTGTATTTTAGTTTACAATGTGCAAAATTCGGTACCCGGACATTTTGCCGAAAGACACTTTGCCGAAAGACACTTTGCCGAAAGACATTTTGCCGAACGGACAATTTGCCGAACGGACATTTTGCCGAAAGGACAATTTGCCGCAAATAGACATGTTATTTCGTCAAAATATTAAACACCCACGTTCGCCGACATTGTTTATCAAATTTTGTTTGGGACGGTGATTCAATTGTCATGTGAGTCATTAGCAGTGCATAATCATGTCGATAGTTTGTTTGTGCAGCGGATGACTCGTCGTCTGTTAGGAACGTGTTTTGACGTCAGGTCGTAAACAAACAACTAACAAGCAAATAAGCGGCGTAAGCAAATTTCATTTCGAGATTGATGAAACACATTTGCAGTTCTCGGGGAAATCGCAAATTTGCAAATTGCAGAATGCTCTGGCGGACTTTCAACTCTATTGGAAACCTTATGGCAACATGAACAATCAGAGCATTCGCATCCACCTGATCCATCTAACGTGGCTGCCCAAAGAGCAATGCCGGATTGACCATACGGCAGAAGTGGCATATGCCACGGGCCCCGCGCTTTTGGGGGCCCCGCGCTTTGGGGGTCCCGCGCTTACTCTTTTCGATTAAAGTGAACCATGGCTATGAGTGGTTTGAGTGGTGATGCTGATAATATTCAAAGGCATAACCACCCAAGTTGAATGGTTATGCCGAAGACATTTAGCGGCATAACCATCCAAGTTGAATGGTTATGCCGAAGACATTCAACGGCGTAACCATCGAAGTTGAATGCATGGTTATGCCGAAGACATTCAACGGCATAAAAATGTTCAAAACGTCGTTGGGGGGGTTAAGGGGCCCCGAGCTAATAATATGCCACGGGCCACGCGAAACGTTATAATCCAGCCCTGCCGCCCTGCCAAAGAGCAGTGTCAGCATTGCAACATCGTGCCGGTTATATAGCATGCTTTTTACAAAATGTACGATAATATATATGCTTTTTATGAATTATATGCATAATAAACTTTTACCTTAACATTCATGAATCATGTTATTCTCAGCTGTAAATAAAAACCGAAACATTCACTATCAAAGTTTCTGTCATCAAAGTCAACAATGACTTTTATCAAAGACTTTAATCACAGAAAATTTGATAATGTAAGCGAGCCTTTTAAGTTCAGAAAATATCTCTATTTAATTGTCCGTTTGGCAAAATGTCTTTTCGGCGAAAAGTCCGTTTGTCAAAATGTCCGTCTGCAAAATGTCGGTTCGGCAAAATGTCTGTTCGGCAAAATGTCCGTCCACCCAAAATTCGAACATACTGTACAGTACATAAGTCATCGGGCAAAATATGCTTGGGACTTTGTTTTCTGATTAAAGATATTTATGGCATCTCGAGGCACCCAGAGATAGATTGTTCCAAGTCAATTCACGCTATGGGTTAAAATTTTGCCTGCTGTTTTAGTTTGTGAAATCCTGCACGTCTGTTTATTTCACAACTTCAGAAAAGAAAACTCTTATTAACAAAATTTCTGAAGAAACATTTTCAAGTTTATAAACAACCTGTTGGAAAGTTTACTTAATTCGAGGTTAACCTAAGGTTAAGCTTGTAATGTAATTATCGAAAGGATATATTCAAAAGAAATTGCGTGAACATTTATATACCCAGCCACCTTAAACGGACGCCTTCAAACAGGTGTCCCCTAAAAAGGGCGGTTTTCATTATGATTTTCATTCATACGCGGTTGCACTCTTCTTTCGCTAGCGTTGTTGTAGGCAACCAAGTGGTAGCAGTAAAACTGTCCAAAAATGTAAGTCTTTTCCAATTAATTCAAGTGTATGTCTTATTAAACAATTGTTCGCGGGGCTTTCATATTCATATTTCAATGAGCTTCTTCGCTTGCTTCAGACATTTGTCACGATATAATAATAGCCTTAAAATAGCAGTAGAAGCATAGAACGTTTGGAAGGATTTCACCTGTTCTTCCAGGCTTTTTCTTCCTACAGTTTTCCTTTCTCACTAAAAACTAATCCTTAGACATTAATTGCGAAGCTAGTTGTGATTTTGGATATTTAAGTCAGTGTTAGGTATTTAACTATTTAAGTCAGTGCATGTTGTTTAAACGTAAACGACTATGTAATGTAGAAGAGTGTCTGTCTAATGAATAATCTAAATGTCTCATATCTATTTGGATAAAAAATGGATTTTAATGCCTTTTTGAAAACAGGTATTGACTGAATAGAATAAACGCTGTCATCATGTTGTTTCTAGAGATTGACAGCGGATGGAAAGAACGATTTGTTTGTATTTTTCAGTTTGTACATTAAATAAGGTGAGGTTCAGAACAATTCTTAGAAACCGCCCTGATCTCTGTTCAACTGACAATGGAACCCAAGCCAGTTCAGTTAATAGCTTAGAACGTCTTGTTCCCTTCATTGCACCAGTGACCAGTCCACTCGTGCGCATTCATATTGAGCACATTCAAGCAGTTCGGCTTCACTACTCGTACAACCATCCCATAGCACATCTGCATTTTCCATGACAGGTCTAATAATGCTCTTATATATAATTTACCTAAAGTATCTCTATTCAACTTAAATAAGTTAGCTTAGCCTTTTAGAGGCTTTCTCATAAATATTAAAACTATGTGTTTTCCACGAGAGATTTGAATGAAGAGTTACACCAAGGTGTCTATGTTGAATTAGATTTTGTGCTGTATCATTTTCATAAAAACTGGTGGGTGTATCGGTTTATTACGTTTTCTAGAAAAAATAATTGACTTAAGCTAGTCTTTTGAGAATTAATTTTGCAACTATGGGACCAATATACACTTAATGTCTGCTCCCGACGGAAATAGTTAGTTTTGTTTTCCCGAGAATCTCAATGTTTCCCGAGACGAAGTCGAGGGAAACATTAAGATTCGAGGGAAAACAAAACTAACTATTTCCCGAGGGAACAGGCATTAAGTGTTTTGTTATATAGCGACGAACAGAAATCAACTTCAACAACATTCATACAACAATTGTATTTCGTGACAAAAACTCTATAGTGTAAACGAGTTTAAAATTAAAAGAACCAACTTAAACGGTTTCAGCAGCATATCCTGTTGCCCGTTGCGTATTTTTCTTCTCTTTTATATTCTTTGAACACAAACTTGGAAAATCGTAGTTTCTAATTATCTGAGTTGTGCCTCCATTTTGTTTATTTATGGGGCTCAGGTCTGGAATGGCGGAATTACGAAGGACCAAAGTAATGAAATCGAACGAATCCAAAAACGAGCGCTGAATATAATTTATAAGGAAGATGATTACGATAAAGTTTTACGTATAGCAAAAATAGAAAGTTTGGAGAAACGACGCGATCGAATGTGCATTGAATTAATCAAAGAAATGTCGAAGCCTAACCATAAATTACACAGTACGTTTATTACCCAAGAAAATCTGTGAAGTCAGGAAGAGGACAACGAAGCTGAACAATCAAAATAATGTACTATAATTTTATCGGTAAAACCGAACGTTTTAAGAGTAGCCCAAACAGCTATGCTGCAGCAAGTACAATGAAACATTGTTTGGGTAGTTTTAGCTTTATACCTTTATAGATCTATTTTATACTCCTATTATACGTTTTATACTCTTAACATAATCTTATTTCTTGTAATGTACATAACAATTTAGCTTTTAATTGCTATTATATTTGTGCAATTAAATTTTCTAATAATAATAATAATAATGATAATAATAATAATAATAAAAAAAGAGAACTGCATAAGGTTTGCCTATGTTTGGATTGCACAGTTTTAGTTCTACATATATTTTTTGTCATTTAATGTTCACTGTGTTTAAATGCCCGGCAGTCATAAGTATTCATAACAAAAATAGCTCATATATCATTTTAGCGATATGAAAAGCCCAAAAGGTTATTTTGCAATGAATTTCAGTGAGCCGCCTTGTAGCTCAGCGGCTAAACCATGCGGTAGAAACGTGGAAGACGTTCATTCAGCTCGTTTGCAAACAACAAGTTTGCAAGCTTGCTTTGTGCATACGCTTTTCGAGGCTTATAATCTCTATCACCACTTAGATCATCAAACTCGATACAACCTCGTTTATGAAGTGAACTGGTAACGACTAAGATCTTGCTGGGCAAGCGTGTCCATCAAAAGATTTGTCAGCAAAAAGTGTCCAAGTGATTGACAGCGAACTGCATTTCATAACCATTCTCTGACTTCCAGTGCGGGCAGCCATAAATTCCTGCATTGTTAATCAATATATGCAAACCATTTTCAGTCCTGACGAAATCTTGCACAAATTTTCGTACAGAATTCGAGGACGACAAATCAAGGAAGTACAGTAAACAGCAACTTGTGCATTCTCTACTTGCGATCGTATTTCAGAAGCGGCTTTGTCACCTCGTTTGAGGCTACGGCAAGCCAAAATTACCCGTGCTCCTATCTGAGCCAATGTAAGGGCTGTTGCTTTGCCAAGCCCTGCATTTCCTCCTACGGGCCGTTTTTCCTCGCAAATTTACGTTGTTGTGGCAGACCGCACCGCTGAAATAACGTCGCAACAGCCAAACTAATGCTCCACAATCGCCGACTGAAGCAATTC